ATAGGAAGAAATCCAACGGGTTCATATCTGGTGACCGAGCAGGCCACTCTAATGGTCCATCCCGCCCGGTCCAACGAGAGGGGACCGTCTCGTTGAGATAATTGCGTACCGTTTGTGCATGGTGTGCGGGTGCGTCACCTTGTTGCTACCAAACCTACTCAATAACCCTACTGTTTCCAGTTGCGGAATGGCACAATTCTACAGCAATTCCTTGTACGAAGTGCTAGGAAACGTAAAGCATTAGCAATGTGAAACAACAGCCTACCGTTCATATTACTGGAAAAGAAAAATGGCCCAACGATTTTTTGACCAGCTAACTCAGCCCACACAGTGAGTTTTGCGTCATGTTGCTTACGTGAAGCGCTGTTTCGGCGTGGGTTACACGTTACTTAAAATGCTGCTTCTTTACTCCGTGCAAACTGAAAATTGCCACATCAGTAAAAAGCGTGGAATGGATGTCCATGGTATTCAAATACCAGCGGCAAAAATCATGCCGCTTTTCCGAATCCCATGGGTTCAAAACTTGCATTTGATGGGCGCTATACATAGGGAAGTTCCTTTCCTTTAAAATCCTGTGCACAGCATATCGGGTGGTGTCACATTCCTGCGCGAGTCTACTAATGCTTAGATCGCTCCTTGATACCTCGCAGATAACTACGCAAGCCGAAAAGTCGCCTGTGGTGATGCGAGGCCGCCCGGTTTTCCTGTCGTCCCACTCGCTCTAAGTTTTCTCAACTTTTTCACCAGTCTAAGCACTCGCCGTCCGTTGATGGACTGCATGGCTCCGTGGATAGTGTTGTATTGGCGAGCAGTGTCTTCAGCGTTTGACCCCCACTCACCATACTGACGAAGAATAATCACTCGCTGAACAGCAGACACGCTACGCGATTCGGATTGGAGATAAGTATGTGACGGCAGTATATACTCGTGCTCCATCGCCCAGGCAGTGACCCCATAACCAAATAGCACAAATTGCACTACTTTGCCTAGTCATAGCCTGACTGCTCGCTGTCTATCCTATGGCGCGTAAGCTTAACCAACTGCAGAGCAGGCACTGCTAATTCAGCCTAGCACGTGCGCTTTATTGCCTAGCCCTATCGAATAATAAGCTGACTGCTCGTTCTCAGCGAACCAAAAGTATCGACCCCTTCAGTTGATGGTTTGCCTGTCCTTCCGTATTCCTAGCCTAGTAAGCTTCGCGTATGCTTTGGATCATGTGGTCGGCTGCGTCTCACCCATAGACTGGTCGTCAGACGATGTACCGGGTGTTTTCTTAATGTGGTCCGAAGCTAGGAGCGGCTGCACTCAGGTGCTGACGTACAACCGGCACACTGAATAGCTAACTGTCCAACGGCGCAAATTGCTTTGCCGGCAGAGGTGAGGTGCGACACAGACGCCACATGTGTGCCTGCGATCGAAGAGCACATCGAGCCATTCGGTTGTGAGAAGTGAACGTTAGCCAGACACCACAGCCGCAATGAATGCATCATGCCTCGACCGCATGGCAACGCCTAGGGAACGTACGCTGTTCACCTGTAAAAACTGGACGTGAGTCGGACACCACATAGCCTCACTGAACGTGTCATGCTTCAATCGATCGGTAGTCGGCCTTCACGCAGGTGAAAAGCCAGCGAAAGGGTTTACTGCGAAGTGGCTAGTGATTCGTTGTGCTAGCAACAGAGAAAAACAGCCTGGCCGTATGTGATGACCGGTCGATAGGCGCCGTATTGCTATCGCCACAAAAGCTGTTATCGCCTCCTGACTGGCTTCCAACAAACCCGTAAGTGTTTATTAGGCTGCTTTCGTTGCTAAATGGAATCATACGACCAGGAGCACATTGTATGGTAACAGTGTTGTTCGCTTTACCATTTCGAACGCGTGTGTTACAGCTGAAAAGTCGCCCTTCATGGGTGCATAAAAAAGATTTCCTGACTTGACTTGACGTGACAATGCGCTTAGATTTCAGTCTGCCCTGGCGCACTGGTGGAACCATTAAACAGCACACCAATTTAGTCATGAATGCAACTATTGCCCTCACAGTCAGTCAAGTGCTAGTTGTACAAAATGATCAGACTTTCGATGGTGCTTCTCGTGTACAATGGAGAATATACATGTATTCATTTCCATACTAATATTTGGATGATTTGTGTGTCCCATGTCGACAAATATCAACATTAAACAAAGCGGACGACCTCGCACTGTCATGGATGAAGTAGTAGCTTGCGCGGTTGCGGAAGAGGTACGTAGTAACTACCATCTCAAAATTCAGCAATTCACACAACACTGCAAAACCACACCCTATGCTATGCATCGGATATTGAAGGACAAAAATTCCCGCAGGGTATAGTGCACTGGAGGTGCGTGTTGGACGCATGAGATTTACAGAAGCGCCAGGGTTTCACATTTTTCTTTTTAAACAGTCTGGACATGCATTCCATTTTGTTCACCGATGAGGCGGTGTTCCATCTGCATGGCGAAGATACGAAACATGTTTGGGAAACGACCAACCCATGGCAATGTAGTGTTTCACCTGTGTAACATAGCGCGAAGCTCATGGCCTGGGTGTGTTGACTGGTCGAAAAATCATTGGACTCTTTTGCTTTTCCAGCATTGTGTCCAGTGGGTCGTCGTTTAACAGTACCAATGTCTGACGTTTATTAGCATCCTGTTGCATGGAAATGTTGCAGAGCAGCGTCATTCCGCAGCTACAGTAGGAACGGTTAAGGAATAACGCTTAGTGGCAGCACGATGGAGGACCGGCACATTCGACGCAATCGCTTCGTGCCTGCCTGAACGAGACATTCGGTAGATGTTGGATCGGTCGCAGAAGACCGATAGAATGGCTTGCGCGATCACCGGATCTGAATCGCATGGATTTTTTCCCTATGGGGATACTTAAAACGCAGAGTTAATAGAACGCAACCAAAAAGCCTGGTTGAACTGAAAGAGGACATTGTGAACGAATATAGGCAGAGTTTGTTGGAGACCTTGCAATAAGTGCTTGCCAACACCATTCAGCGAATACGCTTCTGTTGCCACAACGGTGGACACTTCGAATATCTACTTCGTTGATATTTGTCGACATGGGACACACAAATCATCCAAATATTAGTATGGAAATGAATACATGTATATTCTCCATTGTACACGAGAAGCACCATCGAAAGTCTGATCATTTTGTACAACTAGCACTTGACTGACTGTGAGGGCAATAGTTGCATTCATGACTAAATTGGTGTGCTGTTTAATGGTTCCACCAGTGCGCCAGGGCAGACTGAAATCTAAGCGCATTGTCACGTCAAGTCAAGTCGGGAAATCTTTTTTATGCACCCATGAAGGGCGACTTTTCAGCTGTAACACACGCGTTCGAAATGGTAAAGCGAACAACACTGTAACCATACAATGTGCTCCTGGTCGTATGATTCCATTTAGCAACGAAAGCAGCCTAATAAACACTTACGGGTTTGTTGGAAGCCAGTCAGGAGGCGATAACAGCTTTTGTGGCGATAGCAATACGGCGCCCAGCGACCGGTCATCACATACGACCAGGCTGTTTTTCTCTGTTGCTAGCACAACGAATCACTAGCCACTTCGCAGTAAACCCTTTCGCTGGCTTTTCACCTGCGTGAAGGCCGACTACCGATCGATTGAAGCATGACACGTTCAGTGAGGCTATGTGGTGTCCGACTCACGTCCAGTTTTTACAGGTGAACAGCGTACGTTCCCTAGGCGTTGCCATGCGGTCGAGGCATGATGCATTCATTGCGGCTGTGGTGTCTGGCTAACGTTCACTTCTCACAACTGAATGGCTCGGTGTGCTCTGTGTCCCATCACACCCCTGCCGACAAAGCAATTTGCGCCGTTGGACAGTTAGCTATTCAGTGTGCCGGTTGTACGCCAGCACCTGAGTGCAGCCGCTCCTAGCTCCGGACCACATTAACAAAACTCCCGGTGGTTTGGCGTTGAGTCTGCGCTTCACATGCGGCCACACCAAAGGGAAGAGTGACAAGTGTGCCGCTGAATGCAATTACAACCGTTTGGACGCTTATGGTCAAGGAACGTTGTCGATTGGACGGTTTGCGTTTAAAGTAAACGCGTCTGCTTACCTTCAGACGCGCCTTGGTGCGGCACAGAAAGTACTGCTAGACCAGTTTTTTCTTACTAGAAAAGTCCGTTTCACACACGCGCTCGCAATCGCCAGACAAACAGACATCCCACGCTATCGCGGCCAATTATTGTATCTGTCTCATTGCGTTCGATCGAGTGAATTTTTAAAACTAGCTAAGTGTACAAAACCTCAGAAATGAGAATAGAGCGCTTTTGTGCTGCTCCGTTCTGTTTTCTTTCATTTGGCGCGACTGGGTGACCCAGATACGCAACACTGCGCATGCGCCTTTTTGAACGTACCGTAGCTCGTAACCTTAAGGAGCAAATGCCTGCCTTTTAATCCCAGGGCGCGGGTTTGAGTTTGCGTTGTGGACTGGAGGACCATCGCATTATCCTTATCCCGCGTGCGACTGGTGGTGGTTGTGTGGCAGCGGAATGTGGGTACTGCGTAGCGGCGTACTGCTAGTGCCTGCCTGTTTAAGACGGGTCGGTAGATAGGTGAGAAGGCCCAAGATTTGTGCCCTAAGGAACGACTTACCTTCATTGTTTTAGTTTCCTTTAAAAGCTAACCGGAGGTCGATTGCATCAGTGACTGACACGTTGCTTGATGTGGCGCAGTGGAAGACGGCTCTTTTACTCTCACCCGGATTACGTTTTACGCAACTGGCACTTCCTTGATCCGGATTCCCCATTTGTTAGTATATTCTCGTTCATTTCTGAAATTATATTCGCATGTTTGAGTTTTTTCAATCATATTATTTTTCTCCCGCAGATACTTGACTTGTATATTCCGTCAGCTGCACTTTATTGTTCACTGCTGACCTGTAACCCGCACTGAACTACAATAAGGTCAATCCCTGTTATCTCTTTCCATTGCTTCTCCTCTGAAATAGGCATTATCACAGATTTCGAATTCAGTGAAATCCTCCGTTGCTGTTTGATTGAGCCCTGTCCTGATTCGGACGTTGCAGACTCTGGTTTCAGTTTACTGCTGCCCGCGATGGCTCCACTTCTGTTCAAGTTCGACTTAGCAATACCGCTGGACGGGAATCGCATGCTGCTTCCCTCTTTACTATCATCCAGATCGGTCCGTAGCCACCACATCGTTTCTTGTGTCACTCCTTCGGACGTCAGTCAATCGGTAAGCCCTTTCAATTTGCCGGTGTCTTTAGAAGTATGGACGACTCTTTCAGCATGTCTGTCTACACCGGTAACAACGTCATTGTCCATGTGACTAAAGTATTTCAAAATGATAGGCTCGCCTAGCAGACAGCACTCGCAATGTTCACACTTTTCTATCGTTCCTGTGACCTTTGTGCATTTGTGAATTCGGAACCACTTGTCGTTTTACCTTGCTACTATCGTAACCAACAGTGGGATAGGCTTCTTTGAGGTTTATTGGTATCTCCCAATATTTTTCGCTGCCTTGCAATCTCCAAATCGGAGTATCATGTTTTGTTTGCCGACACAGTTCTTAATGTAGCTGGTTTTCAGTATTATCCAACCTGAATTAGTTTGAATTATCTTCTAAGTATGCTTTGTCTTTGGATTTGGATCGGAATCCAAAAAACTTAAATCAGAAACGCCCCCGATTCATCTTATCGCTGTCAGGTAGCAGTCACTGGTTTTCGACCTTCACACGTCTAGGTAGAAAGCAGGATGATCCATCCAAGATCCGCCCGCTAAAAGTCCTCTGTCAGGATGAGGATGAATGTCGCCGCATCCCCAGGCGTACCTCGCGTCTCAAAGGAGGAACCTTCTTTGTCCTGAAAGACCTTTCCTCAGAAGATAGAGTCAGAATGAGACAAGCCGTCAAGGAACTGCAAACCCACCGAGCGAACGGCGAAACTGATCTCCATATTATGTATTTTCGCGTTGATCAGAAAAATAGAGAACTTCCTGGAAGCTAGCCCTTCTGCTCATCATCATCATCATCATACACGTTAGCTAGAGGTGGGGGACACCTCAGCTACTGTACCGCAAGGAACACCTCAGCTACCCAGCCCCCAAGTCTAAATAGCGGATTTCGAGTGATATTTACCAATGTACGCAACCTTAAAAATACGCTTAACGAGACTCCTTTTCTCAGTACTGTGCATCAGCCAGATTTACTGGCTTTCACCGAGACCTGGTTATCACCAGAGATCCAGGACGATGAGATTAGCATATCAGGATATCAACTCTCAAGAGCAGATCGCTCCAGTGGGGGGACTGGGGATTGAGTAATTCTCTACTTGAGGTTTTGCCTCAATGTACACGTTATCGAAGCTCTCTGCGATAATGACGGAGCCTCGGAGATACTGTGGTGCGGACTTCATGACGGCTATCAGCTGCACACGGTCGGTGTGGCTTACAGAGCTCAGGCGTCCGTCTATTACTGTCGGTAAAAACCAATGATCACGGCAGGAACTGTCTGCTAATGGGCGACTTTTATGCTTCCATTGTCAACTGGAACCTTCTTCACTGTGATCTTTACCAAGATTCCTTCGAGACTGGCTTTCTCGACCTTATTCACGAATGCAATCTGATCCAGCACATCTCAGTGCCAACACGGAGAATACCGGGTCAAACACCAAACATACTGGATCTCCTCCTCACACCAGCTCTCTCTGATGTCCATGGCATGAAGATTCTCCAACCACTCGGCCGGAGTGACCACTCTACAATCTTTTGGGCATGCCACCTTGCCATTCATAATCAGGGGACACACCGTCGCAACCTCTGGAGTGTTGTCCCATCCAGATTACAAAACGTGGGAAGCACCACAGACTGGACTATTTCACAATCTCTGAACCTTAATGAGGCATGGAACTTACTACGCTCGAGGATGACGTCCGTCATCGAAAAAGTTGTTCCTACTACCAAGGACAGGCCTTCCCCAAAGGTCCCCCTGGATGGACCAAGAGGTGAGATTCCTGATGAACAAACGATGCAAACTGTGGGACATATTCAAGTCGACTGAACTAACGTCAGGTTACTCGAAGTACAACATGATCAGTAATCTATGTACTCTAAAAAAGCGCCGAAAGCGATTACTTTATGAACACATCCTAGTCATGCAATCACAAAGCACCCCGATGACGCTGTTTTCGTACCTGAAGCGAAACACCAAGGCTGGCAGTGGTATCCCTGCTTTATCCTGCTAGTAGGAGTACACAGTGCTCTACGAAGATGACGAGAAGGCTCAACTACTAGCCTCCCAGTACTCCTCGATCTACTCCGTGGAACCGTCATTACCCACTGACGATTTGACAATGCATTATCCTTCTCGAGCAAGTCGAAATCAATCCCAAGATAGTCAAGAGACTCCACCTTGAACTGAACCCTAACTCCGCATTGGGCCCCGGTGGACTTCACCCGCTGTTCCTCAACATGGTAGTAGCATATATTGCTGATCCGACACTTCAAGTTTTCCGGCATTCTCTTGCAGACGTGCGCCTACCACCTGACTGGAAAGTAGCGATTATAATGCCTAAGTCAAAGGGGGGAAGTGGCGTGATCCTGCAAACGATCGACCGATATGCCTGACGTCTGTGATCTACAAAATCATGGAAGGGATCGTCAAGCGCATCCTCCACACCTAACGCGAAGATATATGCACTATCTTCCCCGCTCAGCACGGATTCCGCAGGGCTCGCTCCTGCATCTCTAACCTGCTTATTGCCAGAGAAGCATGGGTCAAAGCAGTAAACGACCGGAGACACCTAGATGTTATCTACATTGACTTCAGCAAGGCCTTTGACAAAATCCCGCACAAACGACTTCTGCTCAAACTCCAGGGAATTAGCGTCACTGGAAACGTCCTTGCATGGGTTGCTTACTTCTTGAGAGATCGGACTCTTCAAGTGAATGTGGACCAAGCGCTGTCTGGCTCTGTGTCTATAACTAGCGGAGTCCCACCAAGCACTGTCCTTGGGCCGGAACTTTTCATGCTCTACATTAATGACCACTCTGCAGCTCTTCAAGCCGACTGCTTAGTCTACGCTGATGATCTTAACCCATGGGCAGAAGTAGCTAGTCTTGAGGACGCGAACAGACTCCAAACGGCACTGGACCAGCTGCACGATTGGTCCGTCAATTGACAACTGCCCGTTAACTACCACAAATGTGCTGTTCTTCCGATTGGTAATCGATTCATTCGGTGTATACCACATTGGCGCATATCTTCTCAAGAATGTCATGCACGAGAAGGATCTGGGGGTTATCGGGTCACATGACCTTAAAGCTTTCCAAGACACCCTTAGAAAGGTCGCGGCCGCAAACAGGATGCTGGGTGCTCTAGGGAGATCGTTCTCCTGTATCACTCCGGTAATTTTCAGAACTCTGTTCACATCACGTATCCGCCCGATATTGGCGTATGGGCTCACGGTTACCTATCCTCTCTTACAATCTAAATGCGACTTTCTACATAGCGTTCAGAAGCGTGACTCTAAATCCGTCATGGAGCTTCGAGATCTTGCTTACCCTCTTTGACTCCTAAAGCTGAACATGTTTCCAATGGATTCTCGTCGTCGACGTGGAGACGGATCCTAAGAGGAGAACTTGGGGGTGAGGTACAAAAGCACTTTCGGCTCAACGTGGACAGCTCGACATGAGGCCACAAAGGGAATTTGTACAATAGCCGAATACTTCCCGTCTGTCCAGAGCGTGCCCTATCAATGCGTGTACTGAATGATTGGAACAACCAGCCAGAGATCATTGCTGATGGACCGACAGAGGACAGTTTCAAGCGGCTGCTTGACTGCCATGTGCTGAGTACGGCAGGGCTCTGCTGTTCCTACTGAAACGGCGCCGATCCTCAGAGGAATGTCACTACGCAGCCAATTGCGTCAAACCTGCACTGAATCGGAATCGACGGCGCTGACAAGGGTCTCCCCTCCTACTCTACACACAAATGAACCAACAAGTATGACCGTCCAGTTTCTACAGCACGTCACGCACAACACATCATACAGTTGCCCATGGAGGCATTTCATGTTTTGCTCCGGCTTATCTCTCCCCGACTTCTTGAAATAGTTGCATGTTTTGCCTAGCAGCCAGTTCAATAAACAATATTCGATAGTCGCCTTTCGCCCACTTTCTTTTTTGCGTTTTTTGAAAGGATTCTCCCACAAACCTCATACACATGATTGGACGTCATCCCAAGGGATCCAGGTTGCAAGAGTGTACATTTATGAAGCCGCCCATGCCCCGGTATTTTGTTTCTAGTCGACGCGTCAAAGTACGTATGTATAAGCATTTTGTGCGAACTTTTCAAAATATACTACGTGACTACTTTTCATTTGTGTCAGGTTGGTGAACCTGGTTTACTGTCCCTTTCGATAGCAGCCGTAGTGACCACCATGACATGTTGCGATGGCTTGCGTATCGCCGCACTCCCTTCGTCTACGTTTTATGTTTCTTTAATATCATTCATACGGTAGAGGTCATTAGTCTGAAGACACATAAACCCAGTCCTTATCGGGTATCGAGGAGTTGTCTGCTTCCCTCTTCCACATACATCATTCATGGGGATGGTAACCACTTGTCATTAATTCAGTTCGACCGGTATTTTTCTGGAACCTCAATCTATACGACAGGAATGACGCGGATAAGTAAACCCTTGACGGACTTTATCGTCCCCCTCCGCCAGTCAGGTGTGGACGGACGAATGGAGGTGCATGTGCGTGCTTGTATGCTTTGTGTATATGCCTGCGTTGTTTTTCTGCGGTCGCAGTTGTATTATCTACTGCCGTGGGAGCGTAGTGGACTCCCTGTCTACCGACTATTGAGCAAAACACCAAACCAGTAACTCTGATGTCATACCACCAAGATAACCACTATTATGCTTTCCTTAGATGTACCCACGCTTGCCGCGGATTTTTGGATTACCGTGCTGGCTTCCACTTTTCCTTCGGGATTACTCTGTTATGCGTAATTTTTCTGCGTGTATTGTGCACCGATATTTTTCTTTTGGGGTATTCTTTAATCTGTGCAAATTTGGTGTAGGTTTTCCGGCTAATTTCGGAGTTCTCATTGATTGGCCCAACTGCCGTCTGTGTCCGCCATCTTGGATTTGTTCTACGGTAATCGGCCATCATGACCACCACACCGGTAACCCGAAACGAAGTATTTTGTGCTAAGCAAACTTGTGCTAAGGTAGTAAAAGGAGGATTGACTTGCACAAATTGCCAAGACCGGTACCATTCGAAATGCGTCAACGTCTGTAGAACCGACATAAAGAAATACAATACGCCGGGTTCACTTTGGTTCTGTCCGAAGTGCACGACGGTTCCACTAGTAAAATGCGTACTAGCGTTAACACAAAAGCACGACAGCCTAGTCGCCGAAACTGAACATCGTTTGAATGCAAAAATTGCTTCGCTCGAGGCGACAATAGCGCATCTTGCACCTCATCCGTCTCCCTCAATTGCTGCCTCGAAACCAAGGAAAAGGGCCAGGCGTTCACACGGCCACGCAGTACTAGAAACCTTGGGAACCACGAACCAAGTCGTCATCGCGACCGATAGAAGCATGCCTAGCCCCATCGCCCACATCCTCTTATCCAATGTATCGACTGATGCAACATCGGTAACACCCACTCTTCCGATTGACCAACGAAATCCGAAGCGCTCTAAAGACCGATCCACCTATGCAACCGTTGCTGCTCGGTATAATCAAAGTGCGACCTCAGTAGCCTCACCCAGTACAGCCGCAAAACGGGTCAAGGACCAGGTGCAACCTGCAGAGACGTCACTAAATCCCTCGATAACCGTGCTTCCCACATCACCGAAGACCAGGCGGAACTACGGGGCCTTGACACTTATATGCACCAACGTTCCTGAGTCCAAGGCAAACTCCTTAAGGGGTAAACAGCTGGATGATTTAAAGCAATGGAATTTCCTTTGTGATAAAATCGGAGTTCAAGCCAGTCCGACTAATATAATGCGCATCACTAGACATCCAACCTCGAATCATTATGGGAGTCCCGGCTAATGCGAGTAACATTGGGATCAACAGATGATGTCGAGACGGTGCTTTTGTCGGCATACCGCCTGCGGACTGAAAACAGTGGAATACGCATATTTCCGGATGTTCCATGGAGCGAACGTCAGCGGGACAAAAATAATTCAAACGACCACCACACGGAGAGTAGCAAAAGAATTATTTTCGTTCATGGCGTGCCCGAGCTACCGACAACTAGCAACGAAGAAGCCCACGCTCATGACCTGGAAGAATGGCGTTACATCCGTGAAGCTCTTTGTGCGGGCGACGTCATACTTCAGTCGATTACACGGTTACCCGTGTCGCCAAACTACAGAGGCAGTGGCCCGAGGATACTGAAACTAACGGTGCAGTCACAACAGATGGCCGTAAACTTAATCCGTAGCTGGCAGTTACTACGCAACACACTTCCTTCGGAACTACGACTGAAGACAGCAGTTAGAGAGCCGCAGCCACTCGCTGTTCTCGCGGAAACGACACCACCCGCGACTCAATACAACCACAACAGCGATTCAGAAACCTGTGCGCTAAGACCCGTAGCTATCGAGACGGCTGCCGATGGACTACATACCGCAGGTGCAAGTGCGACCAAAAACAGATTACATTCCCATCGAGATTTGGCAATTCACTCAAAAACGATTAGATGCCGGCCTCATCGGTCGGCACAAATCCACATCGTTCATGTGCTCCTAGTCAACAGCTTTTGACATCCGAGAAGCTTTCTTGTATGTACACCAAAGCTCAAGGTTTACTGAGTAAACTTTCCGAAATGTGACTGCGACCTCATCGCTATATCGGAGACATGGTTACGCCCTGACATAAGTGATATAGAGATCGTACTGCCGGGCATGTCCATTGTTCGGCACGACCGACGCAGCAAAGGTGTAGGGGTGTCCCTGTACTTCCGCAATGACCTCCAATGTCAGCTCATAGAGGATCCGGTCAGCACAGTACAAGATCCCCTTTGGTGTCGTCTACTTTCAAACGGCGACGAGATGGACTCCCATCTGGCATTCAAAATAAGGAGGGTGATAAATACAACTTACAGTTATTCTCATTACTGGCGATTTCAACATCCACGTTGTGGAATCCCAAACAGCTCCCGGAGAACAGTTTAAGGCGGATCTACAAGAGTTTGTCTGCACTTTCCCGCTGTATGGCCACATCAACACTCCCACCCGATTCCGAGAAAATGATAAGCTTTCGATACTGGATCGGATATTCACGAACGAAGATCTAATAGTCGAGAGAGAGTGATCGTCGACGTCCCATTGGGCTGCAGCGATCATGCAGTACTACTCTTTGAATACATTTGCTATGCAGAATATCTCGGGGGAATTGCCGACGCAACGAAAACGTATGTACGTTACGACATATTAGCTCGACTAGGTGAGACAGCCAACTGGGCATTTCTGGCAGACGAGGCACCAGCGTCAGCCAATTCAACTCTCTGGATGCCAAATCGTCAGCGACCAAGACATTCCGCCCGAGAGACTTGGTCTCCTTTCTGCGAAGCAGGACACGGATGTGTATATCGGTGTAAAGCTCAGTCTGGCATATCTACAAACTCTCCCCGAGCACCGAGAACTCGATTGTCTATGCGACGCAACTTAACCACTGTACTCAGCTTGTTCGCAAGGACAGAATGGCGTGCCAGCAGAAGTTGACAGTGCGTATGGACTCAAATCACAAGCTTCTGTATTAATACGTCAACAGTTTACGTAAGGGGAAACGGGGAATTTCTTCCCTTTAAATAGCGGACGGACACTGAAGGAGGTAGCGAATACCCTGCGCCTACAATATGCTGAAACCTTTTATTGCTATCACTGGCCACCTAACCTTATAATGATGGCTGTTTTACCCTCAAAACTCACTCACATACCCTTCACAGCAGAAGCTGAACTAAAAAAGCTGTTGAGTGTGCTTAAGCACATTTCTCCTGGATTGATAGTCTACACACGAAATCGCTAGCAGCGGTAGCGGAGAGTTTAGCTGAGCCTTTGGCTCTATTTTTAAACACTGTTGTGACGAAATGTACGTATCCGACATGTGAAAACGGAGTGATAACTGCTATTCACAAGAGAGGTAGTCGTTCCAATCCATCCAACTATCGTCCCACAATGTTAGTACCGGTCCTTTCAAAGGTCATTGAAGCTATTACTTCTGATGCGCTAACGGCCTACTTGGAAGAATTAAAGTAACTCGCACCGGAACAGTATGGCTTCCGACGAAATCGATCGTACACTACAAATCTATCGTTAGCACAATTCAGCTGGACCGAAGCAGTAAACTGTGGCACAAGAGTTGCTGTAGTCTTTCTCGATTTCTCAAAGGCGTTCGACCGGTTGGACCATAACATTCTGCTCTTCAAACTCCTGACCTTTGGTATTGGTGATCCTCTCCCAGCATGGATCAGAAGCTTTCTTCTGCACTGCCGCCTGTAAGTTCGTGTACGTGAATCGCTATCAGATCCCATCCGAGCTGAACGCGGAGTACCACAAGGATCGGTAGTAGGACCGCGATTATTTTTGACGTATAATAACGATATCACACGCATCATGAACTCGAACTGCCTTCTTTATGCTGACAGCATCAAGGTTTGGTGGGCGATAAATACACCAGACAATATCACAGTACTTTAAGCTGATTTGGATAGGGTATACTCGTGGTCAATCCAGAATCTACTTCAAATCAATGTAGACAAATGTAGAATGATGCATCTACGGCACAAGTTGGTGCACCTACAAATTCGGCAACCATGAGCTTCAAGCGTCTTCCGGCGAAAAGGATCTGGGAGTTTTGGTCCGGGTCGATCTTAGATATTCGAAGCAGACCGACTCGGCGTCTAGGAGGAGCATCGAACTTGTGGGCCTCCTGAAGCGTACATTCGGACGATTGGACCCTTCGATTTTTCCACAAATTGGCTCATATATACGCCCATGTGTGAAATACGCAATACAGGTCTGACAGCCTTGGCTGAGGAAAAGTCACACCGCCTTGGAGATACCCCAACGCCGGGCAACTAAAAATCTCAAGGGTCTGTATACTTTGCCGTATGAACGAAGGCTACAATGCTCGGGGTCTTCAGCACACAGTACCAGCGACTGCGCGGGATGTCATTTTGACTTACCAAACTTTGAGAGATCCTAACCGCACGTGCCGCTACTTACTAGAGCTCAGTCACAACAGCAATTTGAGAGGCCACCATCTCAAACTGGCGGTGCAGCACAGTCTATT